GGAAACGAGTAAAAAAAACAAAGAAGAAAATCGCAAGGAAAAAAAAATTAGGTCGACGGAGAAGTTGTTTGTGTCAAATGAATAAGCCCGCCTTTTTCTCCCTCCGTGGCGCTCGCTCTCGCTCTCACACACATAACACCACCACGGGAAGAAGTAGAAAGGGAGGAGGGAAATGTAACTTACTTGTACAGCATCGATAGTGAAGGCGGTTCCCGACAATAGCAAAGGGGGCCGAGCAGCAGCAGCAGCAACAACAAACAAAAACAACTCATCTCATCACTTTCTGCTTCTCTCCCACCCCCACCCAAATATATTATTAAAACGATAGACACCCACACGCATGCAGAGAAAGAGTGATACCCATGCCAGCGCACCCCCCCCCCCAAAATGCCTACACGTTTGTCTCGGAGTCGGAGCTAATCGTCCCATGCCCGTAGCCGCCGCCGCCGTCGTCCTCCTCCTCCTCCGCCCCTGCAACATCAGCATCTCCCCCCGCAGCCATGGTGTCACGCGGCTCAATAGCACCGAGAAGTTGGAGAGCGTCGGACCCGCTTGCTCTCTTTCCAAGGTTGCCCAACCCCCTGGAGAGTTGCTGCAGGCGGGCATTGTCCACCCCAACCATTTTATCGGCGCTCTGTGCGAAGTAAAACTCAATCTGGTCCAACACCTCCGCGAGGTTGCCTGGGTGCAGCGCCCGCTCGCCAAAGTGCAGCTCCTTCTCGCGGAAGAGAAATATAGGAAAACGGACACCGTCTGCGCCACGGCTTTGTACAAGGGCTTTGAGCTCCTCTAGCTGAGCCACGGCTTTAGGCATGATGTTCCTTACCATGTCATGCAGAAACCACCGACGGCCTTTGCTATGCTGGGGGGTCACCAACAATTCTTTTTTGAGGTATACCATGTGCCGGCGAGCCTTGTACAAGACGGCCTCTAACTCCCTTGTCCCAATCTCATCAAACGGCAGCGAAAAGTAAAAGAGATCCCCCACCTTCAAGTCGCCCACCTGCCACGTCTTTAACCTCTGATTCTCCACAATGGCGTGCCAGGGATTTTTCAGCCGGGACAGTCGCAGGCGATAACCGTCGTCCGTCTCCACAACGGCCTCCTTCTTTTGCCGCGTCTTGCTGTAGTGCTGCGTGAAGCGCATGACAAACGACATGGATGAATTGAAAGTGTCGTAGGCAATGGCTACGGCCTCTTTCTCGCCGAGCAGCGCCTGGTTCGGGAGCCCACCGCTTCGCCTGGCGGAGCTGACGCGCCCGTCGGGGGAGACAGCGGGCTCGCGCTGCGTGCCGCCACCCGCCTGCGGTGGTGTCGGGAACCGCGGAGCCGCCCGGCCTTCAGAGCGCCCTTGCGTAGGGAGCGGCGCCACAGCCGCGGCCGTGACTGCCGCCCGACTCTCCACAGGAAAGGTGATGCTCGTGGCAAAGACCAGCAGGATAAACGTCAGACGCACCTTCTTTTCCTGCTGTGCCGCGTCAAAAAGTTGGTGAGCCACTGCTTGAGGAGAAGGAGGGAAGTCGGTCTCCATCGATGTGGCCGCCCGCGCCGAGCCTGTGCGTTGCACCTGCGCCTGGAAAAGCTGACGAACGTACGCCTGCTGCGGTGCGTGGTCAGCTCCCCACGGGACCCCATCTGGCAGGTTGAGATGCTGTCCGGTGACGTCCCACAACTCAATGCTGGTGAAGTAGTCGAGCGAAGCCGCATTAAGCAGCGAGATGACGGCGTTTTTGATGGCCGCCGCCCACTGTGGGTAGTCGTTCAACTCCGCCGTGAGCATCTCGCGGTAGGCGGGGGACTGTGTCAAGATGATGGCAAGGCAGAGCGCCAACTCCAGACTCTTAATTTGAAAGGCCGCAAAGTCCTCCCCAGGGGTGCTGCGGCCGCGCCCCGCATCCACGATTCCCTTCAGCAGCACCGCCAGCACCTCCGTGTCGTGCAATACCTGCCGCGGAAGCTCGTAGGCGGCAGGGGAGTATTGAATCAATAGACGTAGGCTTCGGGCGCGTGCGGCAGCGGCGTTGCCCCCCTCACCTATTCGTCGCAGCAAAACTTTCACGAGGTTCAGGGATACGACGGCTGCAAAAAAAGTCTGCAGCTGCGTCACCGCAGCCACCCCGCAACACATTTCCAAAAGACGCGCAGCCGACTCCAGAGCCTCCACGCTGGGGTCCTGGTCCAAACTGCGCCGTAGCGGCAGCAAGAGGCAGCGAGCATCCCGTAACATGTACGCCAGGTCCCCTTTGTAAAGACGCAGCGCTTGCTCCAAGATCTCCGCAGCGAGTGTCCGTACATCCGCAGACGTATCCTCCAGACTCTTTATAAGGACAGACACCGTAGCGGGGTTGGTGAACTCCAAGGCATGTGTATTAAGCAGTTCCCGCAAGATGCTTGCGCACACACTTCGAACCGTGTGACTGCCATCCTGCATCAGCGAGCGGCGCATGGTGTTGATGCCGCCAGAGGCTACAAACCCAGTTGGCCCGTGTTGTATACGCAGGGTGAAAATAAACAATGTCTCTGCCGCACCCAATCGCAACGGCTCATACGGCGACTCGGAGAGGGTTCGCAGGAGTTGCGGTACGACTTCCTCATCCACCGCAACACGGAAGCAGGACGCAGAGGCTTCCTCGCCCAGGTCACTGCAGGCCAATAAAATCCGCTGAAGAGACTTGACGGCCTTCATGCGGAGCGGCAGAAACGGCTGCGGCGCCTGCGCATCCAACTCGTGCAGGTGTTCTAGCGGTTGGGTAATGATGTCCGCGAGGAATCGCATGAATCCAGCTTGAAGCGTGCGGCGCAGGACGTAACGGCGGGCAGCCTGCGACCCGGTCTCCTCCACACCAAGCAGCGCGTCGAACACGTCTAACACGTCCACGGCCTGTTGCTGCGTGAGTGGAACTCCATTCGATGTGGCACCCGTCGCAAAGAAACCCACCGCCCGCTCCAACGCCTCGTGAAGGGTACAAAACGTGTTTTCAAGTTTCTGCATTGCCTGCAGCTGCTGGCCGCCGCCTTCGCCGTTGCAGAGGGACCGCCCCCCGCGCGGGAGGTGAAACTCTCTCTTGTTTCTGCCGCACGCCGCCGCTCACTCTTAAGCGAGAGGCGCAGACACCACCCGAAGGTCCCCAAACAGCGGTGTCGTCTGCACACACACACACACACCCTTCACTGCGGTGTATTGCCTTGCTTTTACTCTTATTTTCTGCCTGCCCGCCTCACCTCGCTATTTTCGACTATTGACCCTTCGCCCCACCACGCCTGCGGCGCGTGGAAGCGAAATAATAACAACAATAATAATAATCAGGAATAAGAAGCGGGGAGAGGCGGCGGGTTGGGGCAGAAGGTGCGTCTTCTTCGCGTCTTGCGCCGGTGCCCTACAGGCACCGCCCCCAACACAAACAAAGCAAAGCAAAACAACACCCGGTGTGATTGGCCAAAAAAACCCCTCGCAATTATTGACATGAAAGGGGGAACTACTTTCTTTTAGTTACTTTACTCTTCGGCGCCAAATTCGGTCCTTGTGCCGTGCTGTTTGCCTTCGCCGCTTTAGTCGTACTTCGTTACACGTCTCGCACATGTTACTTCTCGCGATCCCCGGCACCGTCGCCCGCGAAGTTATTTTCGCAGCGGCGGCGTCTGCTCCGCTGCTCGCACGGGCGCTGGCGCTCTTCTCTCGCCCGCTTCCGAGCCGCCCCAACGGCGGCGGGGTCGTGGCGAAAACTGCAGCGGTCTCCCTTCTCACACAAGGCGAATTTGACGAAACTACGACACGCCGGAACATCCCTGTACTCGCAGTGCCAGTAGGGACATTCCTCCGCGACGAGTTTGCAACAGCCGGCGAGAAACATGCGGCACGGCACCCTTGCATACCGTTCAGCCTCCTCGGGGCTAAGATCCGCCTTTGTGCGTCGTGGCTTGCGCTCCGGCTTGGGCGGCCGCGGTGTCGGACGAAAACTCTCGCGGATAAGCTCCTTATCGGCCTCAGTGACAAGCGGATACGCCTCCAACGCGGAGGCGTGGATGACGTCAAAGACAGGGAACTCATTAATAAAAAAAAGGGTACGGAGGGCCTCATTCAAGGTGCCGGAGGGCGACATCCGAAAGTACTTTTGCTGCATGCCTAAACGCTCGGCCCGCGAAAGAATGACGGCAGGCCCCATCGCCAAGAACGCTTTCACAGCCTGCGCATTGCACGCCTCCTCAGACGACAGCGGGGCGATGGAGAGCTGGCATGGGCTCCACGCCCCCTGGCACTGTGGCTGGTTGTCAAGGAAGACGCCGTCGCAAGTCGCAGTGGCCTCCGCCGTGATCGTCGCCTTATCTTCTTCCTCTCGTTGCTCCTCGTGCTTAATTTTCTCCTCCGCCTCTGCCTCCGCCTCTGCCTCCGCCTCCGCCTTATCCACTTCCTTCTCGTCACATTTTCCGTCCCCCGCGTCGCTATGCTCCGCCGCCCCGATCCACTTAGAGGCGCGGTTGTACTGTCGATTGATGTGGAAACACGGCAGCGGTGGCTTGGTGGACCAACAGAAGGCGGCAATATCGCCCAGGCGCTGGCGTTCGTTGCCCCAGTCGGTGGAAACGGTAAAGTCGGGGCCGTGAAAGTTGAACTGGCAACGCCACGTGATCGTTTCCGTCCTGCGGTCAAAGCGAGACGTGTTTGCATCCCGCTTCGTCATGCCCTCGGATGTGATCTGGCAGACCACCCCCCGCTTCTTCGCGGCCTCCCGCAGGGCGTGCAGCGGCGGGGGCAGCGCACGAAAGGTGTAGCGCCACACCTTTGATAGCCCCCGCCGGCAGTTGCTGATGGTTCGACGGACATCCTCCAGGAAGTGGAAATCGCGCTGCAGCTGGCCGTCGGTAAACGCACTCAGCGGCACCTTCCTCGCCACGTCGCGTTCTCCGCTACACTGAGATTCCTTCTTGTGCACCCGCACGCAGGTGACGCTGCAGGTGCGTGCGCCGCAGCCCGGGCAGGTGTACAGGGCAGCATCACTACAAATGCAACATACCTTCGCCCTTGCCGCTGTGTCGTCGCTGCCGGGGCAGGCCGCCGTGTGCGGGGGCTCCAGGCCCAACGTCTCGCCTTGTAGCCGCAGATTCACCAAGTCGCTCACAAGCACATTGCTGAACGCCGACGCCACGAAGCGTGGCACCCCCTCTTCTTCCTCTTCCCTCACATCATCATCTGCGGGATCCAAGTGGCTCAATTCCTCCTCCTCCTCCTCCTCCCCGGGAATCCAGTCGAGGTCGGCATCCGCGGCGGAGGAGATGCTCTGCTCGTCTCCCCGGGAGGACTCTTCCGAGCCCGCGTTGAAGTGCTCCGCCGTGCTCTCATGCATGCCTGGCTAACTGAACACACGATCCAAAGAAGAACCTGAGAGGAGGGAGCAAAAGACAAAGAAGAGAAGGGATAAGTTTGCGGCAGTAGCAACGAGCGGGGGACAGTTGAACGGTGATACAAGGCGTCTTCAGAGTCCTTTTATCGCTGCTGACGCCTGCCAGCCGTCGCCGCCCCTGCGGCGCCTAGCTACATATCCAGCAACACACTCAGGGCCGCCAGCCTGTGCCGCTCCTCTGGGGTGTGTTGCGGCTCCAGTGGACGCCGCTCGGGGTCGCCGTCGTAGCGGTACTTAAAGTACATCGCCTCCAGCGCGAGCTCCAGCAGATCGCCGCCCACCTCATCCACTGCGATCGTCTCGTAGCTCTCGGTCCCAATGGTTGTCATCACACATGTGTATGGGAGAGTTGTGACGCCATTGGCGCCGACGCTGTCGCTGCCGCGCCGCCCCTTCCACATGGCACTCCGAATCACGGCACTCACCATGGCGCAGTTGCGATCCACCAGGAACAGGCGTCCATCCGCAGAGCGCAGGCAAACCATGTAGGAGCAGTCAAACGCAATCGGAGCGGCGACGGCCTGCTCCGGTGGCGGCGGGGCACGCGCCTTTTTTGACATTGCCCATAAAACACAGCTCTCCTTCACACAGACCGAGTGTGTACGTGTGGGAAAGGGAGAACAGTCACGATGCAGCTGCGGCAATCAAGGAACAGAAGACATCTTGCTGGTGCCGCGGACAACATACACGCAGGTTACAAAATAGTTGCAATGTAGTAGCAGCACACAAAACTCTTCTCCATCTAAAGCACGCCAGAAAGAGGGAATGCGACGGGCATCCCATACATATATATATATATATATAAAGACAAATAGACCAACGTCTCAAACGAAGCCACAGGGCATTCCTCCTTGCAGGCCCTCACAAGGAAAAAAAAATTGAGGATCGTCGCCCGTACGTGTCACATAGCCCCCTCCTCTCTTCCCCAAAGCCAAGGGACAGTGCCCATACAACCATGTCAGAGCAACCGAGCCGCGACCATGCGTTCGTCCCCTCTCCCCCCTTTTTTTTTCTCCTGTTTCGAGCCTCTTCTGACTGAATCGTAACTGCTGGTAAGACGCAGCGCACACATCAAGGAAGTGCGTGTGTGTGTGAGCGTGTGTGTTAACCATCAGCACTGAAGAGTCTCGGCGACTTTCATCACCTCCAGTGCGGCCTCCAGCGGAATGTGAAACGGCGGCCGCCCCTCCACCTCCCCCTCGTAACGGTGCTTGTAGTACAGGTACTGGATAATTACCTCCAGCCGCAGCGTCGAGAGTGTCGGGAAGTGAATGTTGGGCGTGCTGGTGTCGGCCTCCCCCCAGTCGATGCTCACCTCGGGGAGGGCGAGGTCGAGGTGGTCGGCAAAGCACTTCCGAATGAGCGGCGAAACGCAGGCGCAGTTCCGGTGCACGACAAACTTGTGGCCCTCCGCCGACGTCATGTTGATGTAATCCTCGGGGATCAACTCAAAAGTGTCGATGTACGGCGGCGGCGGCGGCGTACGCCGCATCGGATTGAACGCGGCCCCGCTACGTATCATTTTCTTCCTTTGCTGCTTCTGCGCCCCACCCACGCACTTCTCCGCGAGCGTACAACGATAACGTAATTACAGCGGAGGATGCAGCATCGAGGTGCGAGGGTGGTTAGCAATGAACACCAATACACCTTGGGGTGCCCGTCAAGGCCCACACGCAGGCACGCACACTCAGGCGAAGGGAATATTAGTGGTAATAGTGCGGGGAAGCAGGGGGGAGGTGGATGCCGTGAAGGAGGGTGGGGGAAGCTCCTGAAAGCAGGAGGTAACAATCAGCAATAGTCTCCTACTCTCCCCTTCATGTTCCCCTCCCGCAACAAAAAAACAACAACAACAGCAACAGCACAACCACATAGAGGAGACATCATAGAAAAACAAAACAAAACAAACGCATTTATGCCCTCACCAGGCGTCCACTTCTCTCCTCCACAGCGTCACTTAGTTCCCAGGCAGGGCGAAACGTGCCGTCGCTGCGGAGCAAAAGGGAGTTCGGGATGGTTGCCCCTCGGTAGCCGAGGGACGTGTATCCCTTCTTGTACAGGTCACAGAAAGGAAGCTTGTAGGCGAGGGTGTACCCCCAGATATCCTCATACCCCCAGTCGAACACCGGACTCGCGCGCAGCATCGCCGGCCACCCCGCAGTGGTGGGCTCCACGCTCTCCTTCTGGTGCGCGCTGTCACTACTGCGCGTGCCCATGAAAACAAGAGAGATCCCCCTCGACTCCTTCAGTTGCGCGAGACCGTCTTTCATCGGCTGCGAGCGATCAGTCTTTGCTTCAGTCAAGCCACGATCCGCCAAATAAGCCTCCCTGAAGGCATTTAGTTCATCAAACTCCTCCTTCCCCGGGGACCCAAGAACAAACACGCAGAACTTCGACAGCATTGCATGGCCCAACGCACAGTCAAGGAGGTCCATCATGACAACGGAATCTTTGCCGCCGTTGAAGGCAACACCGACCTCCTCTGGCTTAAACCGCCCCACCACTTCGCGAATCATTTCAATAGACGTCTTCACGAGGGACTCAGAAGGCCGTACCGACGACAGCAACCCTCCGCCATTTTCCACGACAAGTTGCAGGCCCTTCAACTCCATCAGATCACGCACTTTCGCCCCGGTCACGGGCGTCCTTGCCACGACCAATTTTCGCAGCGCTGTTTGTGTTTGCCCCAACGGCCCGAAGCATCGCAGCCTCCTGCAGTCAGAGATGCGCAGCTCCTCCAGCGTCGGGATGGCGGCCAACGCGCTCACATCCGTGACATTGTCGCACTTCTCCAGCTCCACAGTTGTGAGTGCCCCGCATCTGCACAAATTAGCCACATCAGTGTCTGACACTTCTGGGCCCGCAAGCTTCACAGTTCGCAATTCCCCGCCCATTTTCGCACGTCTCCTCCCTTGCCCTCTTCCTGCAATGAAATGCGTGTGAGACAAACATAAATTCACGACAAGCACGGCCAACAAAGTAAAAAAAAAGATAAGCAAAAACATTCCAAAAAACAATATTCATCCACATGAGAACATGATAATTCACCTCCACACTGCGAGAGGGTGCAGCGACACGGGAATACACTTTGGCTCCGTGCGCACCCAAAGCCACTGTTCAGAACCCCATACTTGGAAAAGCATTCTACACTACGCACAAACCTATAACAAAACGAATCCTCCCATAAATTCAATAGCAAATGGTCTCCATGGCAACTCAGGGAACGGCAGTCTTTAAGACCCCACAACCGCCAGACACCTCCGCGTGAGGGCAGTGGGGGCCAGAGGGAAAGAATAAATAAACAGGATAGAAACAGACCACAGTAATTATACTAGATGCCTCCCAAGAATTTTTTTTTTTCCTGCGCAAACAGCACTCAAGCAAAACATAAAATAACAGGGGCGTTCAACAGAACGTGCTACCATACACTAGGCCCGGTCTGGCGGCGCACGCCTGTCGAAAACTTCTACTGTTGATTGCAACGATCATTACAAAATAAAAAGAGAAAAGAAATTAATGCAAAAAAATCCCATTGCAAATTTCCCCTTGTCATGCTACTTTTGCATTGCGGAACCTCCTTCCGCTCAGGGACTTGGGAGTGATGCTCAGCAGGTGGACGGGCTCGGGCATGCCCTGCAGCTCAACGGGGCCAACATCACTCACGCTGGTAAACTCGTCCATGCCTCTTGGATCGGTGTGAAAGGAGTGAACCTCCAGCTGGC